ATAAATAACTGCACTCGAGTCCAAGTTTATGCCACATGTTGCATGTGTCATTTGCAGCGCTTGACTTGTCACTTGACAATTGCAGTAAGCAAGTATAGAACATTTATGTTAAGGAAGCATATAAACAAGATTGTTTTAGTGAATATGTGCATTTACGTCTGTATGTATGTATATATAAACATATATGCATGTATGCCTGCCACATCATATCACTCAACGTCTTTCTAACATTTATTAGATGTTTTTTTTGTTTTTTTTTTTTTTTTATTCATACACACATTTTCCTAGTTGTCGTTAAGTGAGCAGCAGCAGTTTGTTCTTTGTTCATTGCCTATTCTTTACTACACTTCTCGCTGTCTTGCCTTCACTGGGTTATTATTGTCTAGGAAACAAAAATAAATTACACAATTTTCTAATGTCATTCTCATTTACACATGGATATTGTTTCTATTTACTCACTTATATATACATACATATGTATATAATACTGCTATATGAGCATTGCATTTGTTTATTATTATTATTATTATTATGATTTTTTTTTCGTAACTCACTGTTCATTTTGCAATTGCGTTGAGCGTTGTTTATTACTATTTTATTGTAAATAATTTTTTTTATTGAATAAATTTGTATATAAGTGAAAAACACAAGACAATAGACACGTTTGAATGCCAATTTCATACATAAATATGTATGAGCATATATATATATGTATGTATGTATAAATATAACTCTAGTGATATAACGAGAAATAGTTGTCACCGTAAACATTTCCTACTTGAAATCATCGTGACTGCTGTCATAGTGAGCAATAATTCTCATATTATTTCACACTGAGATTTAGAAAGCTTTTAGCTATTTATGCAAACATACATACATACATTCATATGTAAATAAAAGTAGCTACACCTCTGTACAGCAGCATGAAAAAATTTAGAAAAAATAGCGCTGATTTGGGCTCTAGACAGTAGTAAGCACTGTCATTGGTATAATTTTTCACAAGTCAATGAGGATGATTTCGCCTCTTGAAATAATAGATTTTGAAAAAATAATAAATTTAATTTTTGCGGCTAACTTTGAATTTAAATCAAAATAAGCTAAGTAAATCAGAAAAAAATTTCGCAAGCAAGTATACAAAGTAGTAATAAATTTTTGTAATATCATCCTCTAAACCGTTTCCTTAAATACAATATTAAAAAATGATTGTTAGGTTAGATCACCTGGGCCTGTTCGTCCTTCGTAGTGCCAGATAGAGGTTTAATTTAATTCGATGTCAGGTAGTACTCCATTTTTTGGAAAAACCTTAAAACGCAAAACCGCAAAATTGGAGTGGAAGCTTTTCCGAAAATCGCGTCAGCGCCAATTATATTTGTATATACACAGGTAGTCTTTATGCGGGATATCATGAAAATTATAAGAGACCCTTTTATCCAATTTCGGATATCTCTTCGAGTCCTTGGAATAGCGAAGTCAAGTTTAAATAAAACCGTGCAAAAACAGAGGATATATTCCAACTTCACACTCATGGCTGCCTGTCTACACTTGCTACAATGGGCACTTCTACTAAGAATCATTCTGCTCGCATATGATGACAATATGTTGTGCTTTATAACTGTCCTGTAATCGTTTTGAGAGCGTGTATAGCACAGCATAAAAGGATGTTTCATAGTACAAAGCCCTTAGCGACTTTAGTATTTCATATACCGATTTAGTCGTCAAACCAATGGAACAATGAGAGATTATTGGCTGGCTATGAAAACAGTTACATAAATACACGAGGTGTGTTCAAAAACTATCGCGAATTTTGTGTTTTTTCAAAATTTATTTTTTTGTTAATGAATATCTATTTTGTCACGCTCAAAGTAATCCCCATGAGATATTATAAACTTCGAAGCACTTCAAAAAATCATTTTTTTTATCTTGTTCAGCTCCTCCTTCGATGCCGTCTTTATCTCGTCAATCGTAGCGTAACGTCGTCCTTTCATGGCCCTCTTCAGTTTAGGGAACAAGAAAAAGTCACAGGGGGCCAGATCTGGGGAATACGGTGGCTGCGGCATCATTAGTGTGTTGTTTTTGGCCAAAAAGTCACGCACAAGAAACGATGTGTGAGCAGGGGTGTTATCGTGGTGCAAAAGCCAATTTTTGTTCTTTCACAAATCCGGGCGTTTCTGGCGGATAGCTTCGCTCGAATTGCGCATAACTTGCAGGTAATATTTCTTATTGAACGTTCTACCCTGTGGCCAGAACTCATGATGCACCATGCCCTGCAATCGAAGAAAACTGTCAGCAAAACTTTCATTAAAAATTAAAATCGAAGACCATCCAAAACACGTGCAAGCAAAGCAGCTGTCAACAATTAAGTGAGCATTCAAAATGGCCGCGCTTGTCGGCAGAAGTGACAGACATGAGTGCCAACATAACGCCACAAAAAAGTCGGAATTTGGTTTTTCGTTACCCGGGGAACAAAATCGCGATACTTTTTGAACATACCTCGTACGTTGAAGTTTTTCTGCTTTGTCAGCTAGATGAACAGTTTTCCCTAACGTGGATACCTCTGCTTAGAAGCATTGGTCTGTACATATCGATGTTAATGGAGGGCTGCACCAATGCGAAGCGCGGGCTTTTAACATGACTTCAAGCCTTCTTTCTAAGATAAAGCGTGGAGATCTGCAGTCTATTTTGTATACACTTTCCTTTTTTATTGAGCTATGTCCAAGGTACGAGCAAAAAACTCGCTCGCCCCCAATCTCCCGTTTTCCCGGTTGCACAAGCAGCCCTTTGAGTAGTTCTTGCAGCTTCCATTATATACTATTACATAGTACAACCGTTGTTTTCGCATTATTGGTTTATTTTTTTGAGATTTTTCTAGCCCCGGTCCACCCTTTTAACGCTGTATAACAACAATGTAACGTCCACGGCGACAGGTTCTGAGAGGAGTCGCTCTACCTGCTAGCTTTTAGCTTGCTTGTTAGTGAAATTTGCTAAGATCAGGAGTAGAAGGGAGAGTATGCTTAAGAGTAGAGAAAGGTGTAGGTAAATGTTGCCCTGAAATTTATTCATGGATCCCAATGGTTCTTCGAGGATCCGGGCTTGTGAGTTCCATATTATGAGAGATTAACGGTCCGAGATCAATTTTGTTCTGTTGAGTGCGGGACGACCATTCCATGTATTGCGGGAGGAATTTATTGTGCGCAATGACTCTTCAAAACTGAGGGAGCGAGAGAGAAAAGAATGTAAATACATTTTTTTATTCATAATGAACTTTAATCTATTATGCAATTTCCATTTTGTTGGATGACCTTTAGCCATCTGTCCGGCAACATCATTATACCACGATCATATAACTTCTGGCCTTTATCTGCTAAAAAAACTGAATCAAGTGTTATTTTATTGACTCGTCAGTTTCGAAAGTGTTACCATTTAAAGATCGAAACAAATGGTAGTCTGGCGGTGCAAGGTCAGGGCTGTATGGTGGAAGCAGCCAAGCTCTCTCAGTTTTTGTGCGAATGACCAAAGATGTGTGCGGTCTAACATTGTTCTGGTAGAATATGACACCTTTACGATTGACCAATTCTGGCCGCTTCTCGTTTATGGATGTATTCAAATTGGAATCAGCTCAAAATATACCACATCTTTCCAATCTCCCCAAACTGACAACATAATCTTCTTTTGGTGAATGTTAGCATTCGAAGTGGTTTGTGGGGCTTCATCATGCTTGGAGCATGAGCGTTTTCGATTGACGTTGTTGCAAACAATCTATTTTTCATCTCCAGTTATGATTTGCTTCAAAAGCGGATCATATTCACTACGATTAAAATGCATATCAAAAGCGTTGACGCGTCTTGTTAAATGCATTTCTTTCAATTCATGTGGTACCCAAGCATACATTTTTTACCATTCCAAGACGTCGTGTATGATTATGAATGGTTGACGGCCGCAATGGCCGAGTGGTTAGTATTGCCATTATGAATGGCCGTGTTCAAGTTCTGGTTCAACCAACATCCAAAATTATAAAAAAAAATAATTTTCTAATTTCGGTCGTCGGTTGCGGCTGGAGATGTCAAGCCATTCGAGAATATTTTTGACATGAAATAAAAGCTCCTAATGAAATTCCATCGACCGTTCGGAATTGAGGCGTCTTAGAATAAACTGTAGGTCCCGTCATATCTTAGGAAAACATTAAGTCGCAAACAACAAATTGGAGGGGCAGCTCGGTCATAAAACGCGCAAACTATATATTATACATCAGCATTGCATATCCTTTATAATTTCGCATTCAAGGTTCTTCTCGCATTTAGTTACTATTGTTAGCTCATATTCAGATTTTTATAAACTTAACTTCTAATAAGCTAGAGTCGTATTTTCTTTAGTGTTTCAGTACTCTTTCAAACCACACACATTACTACAAAAAAAAAGTTTTTATTTAAACCAAAATCTAAAAATTATTTTATTGCTATACATACATATATAATGTATGTAAATGTTTTCTTTATGTCACTCCGCAATAAAAACTTTAAATTATGCGAAATCACTATATACTCATTAATCAATGACCACAACTCATCAAGCGTAATGAACTCGTTCACTCCCCCAAACCAAAAATTTTATGCTCAAGTCTAACTTGAGCCAATCAAGTCAATATATCACAATTTACCAACACAATTTTTTTATTCTTTTTTTTATATTTTTTATTTTTTATTCTTTTTTTTACCGATCAATAATATCCGAATGATTGATGTACATACATATTTACATGCTTAAGAGAAAGAAATATTACAAATAATAAAACCAAACGCATAATAATAATGAACTCTGCAGCACTCACTTAAAAGAGGACCACCAGCATTTAAAATGCTACAAAATGTCGATGTCATCAACAGCACTTCAACCGTCATTGCAGAGCGTTAGTTGGTGTGAGGAGCAATCTGACTAACGCGCTGCATTGGTAAAAAAAAAACAAATATTATAATTTTATTTTTCCTCTCCGCATTGAAAAACAGTTGCGATTAATCATCATTTAAAGCCGTAAAACTGAAGCTGCAAAAGAAAATTGAAAAACTCAAAACGACTAAAAAGTCAAAAGAAAGAAAATGTGACAGCGGTAATTACGAGTACTATGGTGATTTTAACGACGACGACAACGACAACGTACACAATAACGATAGCCGTGGCGACGAGGCGGCGCACTTGATTGACTCGCGAAAGTGCAGCATTGTTAGTAGCGGCATGTCCGCCACCACACGCCCGCAGCTCTCACCCGCTACGACACCACTCTACGATGGCTATGCGACCATACGTTCGCGTGGTCTGTATCGCTCGCGCTCCATACGTGCTGCCGAGCTGGAAGCTGAACTCAGCGGCGCCGATACAAAGGTCAGCAATAGCGCCACAGATATGCGCCGCGGCCCAGTTGTAGAGCGACGACGTACACTTTCGCTGAAAAGTGATTACAGTCAGTGTTCTTGCTGCTCGGGCAATAGTGGCGTTTGTCATAATATACAACGTTTGGGCCGTGCCAATAGTGCTAGCAGCAGCGCAAATACACCGAGCGTGGCTGAGGAAATCTATGTAAGTCGTCCGATTGCGAAAGCTGTCAAAACACCAACGATCGGCGAACTGGAACCACTATATGCCAGCACACATCTACGGCTCTCCGGTTTTCGACCGCTCTCCGATGCCTCTTCTTCGTCCGGGGGCGGCGGCAGCAATGGTGGTGGCAGTAATGGCGGTGGTTGCCGCGATAGCGTCATCGGTTCGACAGGCTCCGGCAGTATTGCAGTTGAATATCAAAATTTGAAAAAGAACTCGCGTTTTTCACTCGATTCACTGCAAAGTAGTGCCACGCCAAAGACACCCGATTACATCACTGCAGAAGAGGAGAATATTTTCTTGTATACCGCACCCGATAGTCCAAAGCGTCGTTTGGACAGCACAAGCACGCGTCACTCTTATGGAGAATCGGAACGCTGTTACTCGCCATTAACCACGAAAAACTCATTCGAAATGCAAGAGTATACAGTGCCTAGCAGCCGTACCTCTGGCGACTTTTCACCCTCAAAGCTGCGACGCCTCTCAACACGCAGCAGCACTTCTAACAACAGTTCACATTACAGTCGCACAAAGTCGCTAATCGAGAGCTCACGCCCGACCACACTCATCACAAGCTCCTACCATCGCAGCGAAAGTGAGAGTCCAACCTATGCTGGTCGTTCCGCACTCTCACCAAATGCGCCACCAACACCGGTGCGCCGCGAAAGCCTTTATGCCAAACCAAAGATTCATGCCACATCCATGCTAACTGTACCACCACCGTCAACGCAGTTGTCCCAATCACGCCCGACTAGTCCGTATCGGAGTCCCTCAAAATCACCATTACGCTCGCCCACAACCAGCAATACCAACTATGAGCTACCAACGCCTCAACGTAGTGCCAGCGTAGAAATACTCGAACGTTCTCATACTAGTCATTCGCTGAACACCATCGATCAGGATGATATACCAGCTGTACCCAGTGCCATGCCCGTCTTGCAGAATGCCGTCGATCGACGTTACCACACATTGGGTCACATGCGTGTACAAAGTATGGGCGCCGGCTTGTATCGTTCATATGATTCCTCACCAATGGGTTCTATGTTGAATATGATGAATGGCGCTTATTACTCGGTCTACGCAGGGCGTCAGCATCATACTATGTTGCAAGCAAATAAATCCGCGGGTAACATTTATGCGTCGGCAGATGATGCTGTTGCTGATCTAAACCGATTAGCTCCAGAATATGTTGATCCGTTGGATTTTAAAATTGGCTGCCAGACGACTTTAAGGAGTAAACCCGTGATTCCTTGGTATGAATTGGCTATAAAGAAAGACTTTAAGCGACAGTCGTGTCCGCCGATTACAGGCAGTGGCCTCACAAATGGTAGCATAACGCTCAGCATGAGTCGGAGTACCGATGATAAGGTTAATATTTTGTTTTATATTTAACACTTCTTCGACCTTTAATATTTTTTTAGCACTGCATACTTAGTTATAAGATTATTAACAATATTTAATACGTTTGATTTGTTGTTGTTGAAAAATATATTGTATCTTATAAGGTGCGTTTCAGAGTCTAAGGCACTTTTATAATTCTACTGAGAAGCCTAGGCTTGGTGGGAAATTTCTTACATAGCCCAAGAAATTATAATGTTTTCAAGTCAGTCTAGAAAAAAAAAAAATTCACCGAGGTCAACGAAAAATTATCGGAATAAGATCGAACCCTACCAGGTCTTGTGTCAAAAATAACAATTATCCTTACCCTAAGCGGCTGCAAACATTTTAAGTTATCAAAATTGATGAAAAACATTATCTGTTGACACGGCATAATCAAGCGAGTCTACCATTTGCTGAAAAACACATGTAAACCAATATGAAGACGTAGTAAGTTTTTGCTGTTGAAGCTAAAGTTCATCTGTATGACTCTATTTATTTTGAAAAGATAAATTGTCACACGAAAACTCGAAAAAAATGGAATATTGATGGCACAGTTGGTTCTTAGTTCTTTTCGAGAGATTTGCGAAAGGAGCCTCTTTTCTTTTCTAAACCCGAACGAAACAGTTCGCAGCATCTCAATCATGACAGAGACTAAAAATAATGCGTTGGAAAATGGTGTATTTTTTTATCTGGACTTACAGTGAGTTGACACTAATTTTTCATTAGGATTATGTCCGCCCTAATGCAAGCCATGAAATGAGTCTTTCTTGGCTGAATTAGACTTAAATTCCATAGAGAACGTATGGTTCATAATAAATAGAAGGCTTTATGTAAATAAAATCCTATGATGATGAACTTAAGGCAGTTATTATTACCGAACGGTTTAATAGCCAATCTAGCCATTTTATACGCCTCCCGGCCGTACTACCCGACTGGAAGGTGAGTTATCAACGCTACTTCCACCAATTTCTTCAACAAATTTCATAATTTATATGTTCGAAAGCAATCGCCAATCAAATATATAAAATCGAAATGCTTATAAATAAAGTAAAAAAATCATCTTGACTGATGAGGCCCATTTCCACCTCGATGGCTATGTCAATAAGCAAAACTGTCTCCTCTGGGGCTCCAAAAACCCAAGATTTATTATTCAAAATGTCCCAACGTGTAACTGTTTGGGGCGGCTTATAGGTCTTTACTTTTTTGAAAGAGACTGGGTCGCGCTATCGATAGCTGGTAAAGATATTTAGGGCACAATCCTCAGTAACTCCATCATCGGCAAGCGGTGGTAATAGTAGCCATTATCTTGATGAAATTTTGATTGAATCAATAAAAAAAAGACTTTTTTACATTTTAAGAGCCGGTGGCACAGGGCGAAATGTACCTGGGAAATCTTTAATCTTAAATTTAATGAATAGCGTCTTATTATTTTGAAACAACCCGTTAAGAAATCTTGTTCCATTATCCCAAAATACCACTTTCCGGTTAAAATTATCGGTCAAAATACAATAGTTAAAAAAAACTGGCAGGCTGTATCTTACGATTCTCAGTAAGGAGAAAGGTGAAGACTCTGCCAACAATTATCATAAAGCAGTTTCTAAATGTTGGCTCCAACATCAAAACTAACATATTCTCCCTGATATCTTCTAGACACAGGAGAAGGAAGTTATTTACCATAAGAGATGTGATTTATTTGAGTGCTCTTTAGTACGACTATGTACTCAAGCAAAAAAATTTAAAGAGTTTTCCAACAAAAGGTGTAATTTTGAATAGCCTGCTTTTCTGGTATATTTCACATTAAAGCTGTTATTTTTCGATATTTGACAAGTAAAAACTACGCCGAACGATACACGCTTCAACAAGGCTTTGAAATATTGAAATTAACTAAAATTAAATTGGCATACAAATCATCTTGACTCCATCTCCTCGATGGCTACTTCAATAAGCAAAACAGTGATATCTGGGGCTCGGAAAACCCTAGATTTATTATTGAAAAACCCAGCCATCCGCAACGTGTAACTGTTTGATGCCGTTTAAGGCCCATCGGGATCATTGGACTATCGACCTTTTAAGGGAAAAGTTTCCTGGCCGTGTTATCTCTCGAATAGAAGATCGCAATTGGTCACCGAGTTCTTGTAATTGAACATATTGCTTCTTCTTCTTTTTTAGCCACGTAAAATATAAGGTATACGCCAATAGGTCAACCTCGATTCAAAACGTCAAACATGAAATTCGTGAAACTACCCAGAGCATTCAGCAGCCACTTTGCGATTCGGTGCTGGAAAATTTCATAAAAAGGATACGGTACTGTAAGCCTAGGCGTGTCGGCCATTTGACTGATGTTGTTTTCAATTATTAATTGCATATTTTCCTCTTTACATTGAAATACACATTTGATCACTTATCACAAAAAGTGTCATTTCTTTGAATTTCAAAATAACACCTCTCATTTGAAAACCCTTTATAATCATAAAATGTTCTCATATATGTTTTTATGTATTCTCAGTCCAACTCTGTTCAACATGTTGCACACGTTCACATGTCATCCGCTCAAATAACCGTTTCTTAGCGCATTAACTAAGTACACACTTATCGTTAAGAAATTCAATGGCTGCATAGAGAAATCGTATAAGCATGACTTGAAATCATCATCTGAAAGGTATAAGAGATAATGCAAAGCACATAATTGAAATGACAGATGCACTTCTGAAGCCGTGACATGTACACATATTTAAGCATGCTAAAATATATGCGAATAGAGATCGGTTGTAAAATAAACTGTGTTTAGTCAATAATGCAATACTTTTTTTTTTCAAAATATTTAACAAACAAAAATTAGTGTTTTTAAAAAAATCTCTTTCGGTTAATGATGCTAAAACTTAAGCTATAAAGCTGGGTTGTAAGGAAGTAATTGTGAAATTCAATTACTTTCATGAGGACCTAGATCTGGTAGCTTAAATGAAGAAACGCTTCACTCTATCGCGGAGTTTCACACCACATATGTATGCATGTATATATAGACTTCAATAGTTACGAGCGGAGTTTCGTATTTGTTTGCTCACTCTTGCTTGCCGGAAATCGGTGTCATAAATTTTTAGTGGCTATCATCCAAAGTCGTAACACTGCGGTCTGTGCTGCTTGGCAGAAATGTACAAATAAAACTCTCTCCAACATATCAAAACCATAAAAAAGAATATCTATTCGTGACCCTTACAAATTGAAACCAACATTTCGCTATCAACAAAGTGCCTCTGATTTCGCGACATCCAATCAACAACTAACAAGGTTTTGTGCTTTCTTTAAAACTACAATCTGAATTTTTCTAACTATCACAATCACTGTGAATTTTTTGCTTGTCACACACATGTCGCCACTGTAAACGCGGCTAATGAATGCTAACATGGCATTTGTGTGCGTGTTTGTGTGACACCCAAACAACTGTGGCGGTGTAGCAAAGAGGTGAAAAACTTCATGCTAACTCATTCAATGTCAACAACGGTTGAGGAAAATCCAATTTGGGCGCCTTGCTTGTTGCTCCCTATCTATCGCGCGTTGGACATTTGTGGCATTTTGACTTTGTGTTGTGGACTTTTTTGGTTGGCACTACTCTACTATGTGCATATGACTTTTTATGCTACTGAAAACGCATTTAAAGAAAAATACATAAATACTTGTATTTGACTATTTTGGTCTTATTCGTGAAGAAAAAATTAAATTGTGCGTGTGTTAACCTTTTAAGGCAAGTTTTTCATATTAATATGTGGATGCTTGTTTTCTGGCGCAAAATTATAAATTTTTCATGGGAATAGTTAGATTGGTAAGTTAAGTAAGGAAAATTGTTGATAGTTTTTTTTTAAATATTAACGAAGTATTTACAACCATTTAAGTTTACCTTAATTACACGTAATAAATTCTTCTTGTCGACCTTTTAAGGTAAACTTAACGAAAAACTTTTATTACGTTATGGGTCTTTTTGAGCTCTATTTTTTGAGTTTTAAATATCTAAACAAATGTCTAAATTTTCACATTAACTGACTACGGTAACAAAGAGGCATGAAATCTTCGAATACGTTAAATGGGAAGTTTTATGTTTTTTATAAAATAATTTTATTTTGTTTTACTTTAGCTAATTTTGCTTTTTTCACTTTATATCACTGCTTTTTTTTATATTTTGTTTAATAATTATTATTATTTTATTGTTTTTTTTTTTTTAATTGAACATAATTTTATTTCCCTCTGTTCATTATATTTAATTTTATTTTAAATAATGTTATAACATTTCATTGTCTCAATTCATTCATTTAATTTTATTCTATTTTAATCTATGTAATTTTAATTCATCTTGTTTTAGCTTTATTTTATTTTCTTTTATTTTATTTCCTTTTATTTGATTTCATTTTTCTTTGCCTAATATTATTACATTATCTTTTATTTTGTTTTGTTTTATTTTGTTTTATATTATTTATTAATTTCTTATTTAATTTTTTTATTTCATATATTTATTTTTTATTATATTTTGATATTTTTATATTTAGTTTTTTTATTTTATTTTATTTTATTAATTTCTATTATTTTATTCTGTTTGTTTTAATTTTATTTTACTTCATTTTATTTTATTTCATTTTAATGTAGTCTCTTTTATTTGATGTTATTTATTGTTTTTACCTTCATTTTATTTTATTTCATTTTAATGTAGTCTCTTTTATTTGATGTTATTTATTGTTTTTACCTACTCTATTATTTTTATTATTATTTTATTTTTAAAAAATTTTGTTATATTTTACTTTTATTCACAGTGTTATATTTTATTTAATACCAGTATGTTTTATTATTTTATTAAACTGAATTTTATTTTTTTTTTCTTTTATTGAATTTTACGTTATTTTATTTTATATTACTTCAATTTATTTTATTTTATTTATGAGAGTTTATTTTATTTTACATTTTGTTTTTTTACCCTTTAATTTTCTTATTTTACTTTAATTTAT